TTTTGTTTTTTTTTTTTTTTTTTTTTTTTTTTTTTTTTTTTTTTTGTGTTTTTTTTTTTTTTTGTTTTTTTTTTGTTATTAATTTTATCACTAAGATAATGACATGTTGAATGTGCTTTGTTACGTGCGATTTTCCACTAGGCTCATTCCCACAGCCGTTGATTTTTTTCCACTTGAACCGATGTCCAAGGTCATGAAAGCACCGAATGATAAAAGAACCGTACGTAATGATGAAAGGTAAAAGCACCAAATGATAAAAGAGCCGAAGTGCGGCAAAAGCCGCTCAACTATGCTTACATATCTTTTTTTCTAAAGTGTCTATAAAAAATCAAAATTAAATGGTTTTACATATTTCATATAGAACCACAATACAAAAAAATGATGAAACAAGTTATTTTTAAAAAATTAGATTGCAAACCATAAAACAGCAGTTCAGGGCCCAGCTATTCTCATACTGGAAGACGACATTTATAACCGGATGCAAATGTTCATGTCGATTGTGCACCACAAACCAGCAGCACCTGGTGAACTCTTCTTCATATCACAAAATGGCCAAGACATAAGACCCTGCCAGGATATGACCAGGTTATGGCACCACCTGGGAATAAGGTGCGACAAAACAGTCAATTGCACACACTTTCACAAACAAGTTGCAACCATGGTAAGACTTACTTCATTATGTAATTAATTTGTGCAATTTTACAAGATCTTTCATTTAGATTAAAAACATAATAAATTAGCTCTATTTATACTGTGATCAATCCATTCTCTTTTTAAAATTGACTTTTGATGCTATTTTAAGTCAGGTAAATCCTTTCTTCTTTTTCCATAATTTGGTTTCTTTATCTATAAATCACATTGAAGCTGCTTTTTACATAAAAAACTTTATTACTTAAGAACTGTATTACTGGGGAAAACCACTTAACAGTTTCCCCCGTTCTAATTCCTTATTTCGTATTTCACAGTCATGGCGTCAAAATAACAAAGAAAAAAGCAGAAGATTGGTCGCAGGTTACCTTTAACCTCTTTTTCCTTTATTTAATCTATATTTACTTGTTTCTTTCCTCATCTCTATACCTTATCATTCACAACATTTTTAGTTCTTTTTCAGCTTTGCAATTAAGTTCTATGTACTTACTGTCTATTGTTTTATATTTCATTCCTTCAGTTCTTTTACTTTCTTACTCCTTTTCAGTCTCTTGTTTTCTTTCTTATTCCTTTTAAATCTTTCACTTTCTTATTCCTTTCCAATCTTATTCATTTACTTTGAATTCAAAATTACATCTGAATGTCTAAATGTTTGAGAACTGTAGCAATTTATTATAAATATTGAATTTGACAATGCCTAGGCACCAAATCAGGAAGTAGAAGATGAAGTAGATGAGGAAGATGATGTAGACGAGGAAGATGATGTAGATGAGGAAGGTGAAGAAGAAGCACAAGAAAATTTCATCTCATTACCGGTAAAGTAAATTTTTTATATTTCATAATTTCTCCCACCTTCCAAAAAAAAAATGTAATTATTTCCAAAATATTTCTATTTCCAATATTTGGAATTTCTTAGGTCCATTGAAAATTAAAATTTTGTTTTCTGATCTTGTATTTTACCATAAAAATCTAATAAAAATAAAACAATGTAGAATCATTGTCTGATTATCTATTTACAACAGTTGAGTCACTGAGTCATGGCCGGCGGAAGCGGGGGGGCCAGGGGGCCCGGGCCCCCCCCCACTTTTTGGCCAAAAATATATAATGTATGGAGATTTTTGTATGATCGGAAATGCAAAAAAAGGAGGGAAGAAGGAGGAGAAGGATGGGAAAGAGAATGTTTATCCAGTACCCGACCGAGTCACATTTTAGGGAGTTTTGATCAATTCCGACGAAATCAGAATTTAGAACAAAATAATTTTTCCTCAATCTGTAATGATGTTGAAAGAATATGTTTGCAATAAATAAAGCTATAACGAAATGCTTATATTCAGTTTTAAAAAACGAGTGTGGCCATATATAACATAAGAGCATTTTTTGTTGAGGTAGGCCAATTTCCTCTAAAAATTGCACATTTTAGGGAGTTTTGATCAATTCCGACGAAATTAGGATTTAAAAAACAAATTTTTTGCGGGCTTCGCGCGCATTTTTTAATGTTAAAGCTTGTGCTTGTTCTCCTTTGCCTTCTAAGTTAGAACACATAGTCCCAAACTTGAGAAAGAAAATTTAAGATAGGTCATTTTACCTAAAAGAAGGGCCTCAATGTGTAATTATTTTGAAAGAATATGTTTGTAATAAATAAAGCCATAAGGAAAATGCTTATATTCTGATTAAAAAAATGAGTGTGGCCATATATAACATAGGAGCATTTCTTGTTGAGGTAGGCCAATTTCCTCTAAAAATTGCACATTTATTGAGTTTTGATCAATTCCGACGAAATTAGAATTAAAAACAAAAAAATTTGTTATGGTTAAAGCTTGTGCTTGCCCTCCTTTGCCTTATTATAAGTTATTAAGTTATTTATGAACATAATAGTCCCAAAACTTGAGAAAGAAAATTTAAGATAGATCGTTTTACCTAAAAGAAGGGCCTCATTGTGTAATGATGGTGAAAGAATAAGCCTATGATTGTAATAAATACTAACCACGATGAAAATGCTTATATTTAGTTTCAAACACACGTGTGTGCCCTATATTAATAATAAAATAAGCCCTATGTCGTATTGTTTTCTATATGGTGGGTGGGGGGGGGTATCACCCAAGACCCCTGTTACGCGCCTGCTTATAAGTGGGGCCCCCCCACTTTGAAAAACGTTCCGCCGGCCGTGTGAGTAACAAAAGAACAATGCACTCTTGACCTATTTTCCAAATGTCGCAAAGTTTATCTTCCTAAAAGTTTCAGTGCTTTTTGGTACACTATGAAATTATATTTCACTCTACCATTAACAAATTGAACATACTTTTATTTAAGCTTCAGTTTGTTGCATATTCATTGCGACACACAGGACCTTTAATTAATTAATTTTTATTATTTACAACAGAACTGCAGACGACCAAGAACCAACTACACCGATATGGACTTGGGCCTTCTTAAAACATTGTTTGAAGGCCTAATGAAGGAGAAGATAACAAAGGCCAAGGTTAGTACAATGCAAATTTAAAGATGCTCTTCAAAACAATAACAGAAATATTTGGATTTGCAATGACCCAGTGCACTTTTAGGCTGCCTAACATTCAAAGTGTTAAATATTCTTGCTCCAGTTACTCGGCAGAGCGCCACATTCTTATGCTAATTAATCAGTTTAACAATTAGCGACAGTAGGCTGTTTTGTGATGGAAAGCCTCATATTATGTCATTGAGTCCTATGTCCAGGGCCACTGGGGGGGGGGCAAGGGGAAAGATATCTGGGACCCAAGCTCACCAGGGGAGGGGCCATATAAATTGCCGGTAGCATTACTTTTTTAAAATATTTTTCCAAAAAAAAATTTACTATCATAGGCCCTCAATAATGACATGGGTCCCCTAATAATTGGCCCCTCCAGATTGACAGGGACACCACAAGAATTTGTTCGCGCCTTCGGCGCAATCCATTCTTAGCTTCATGCTCATGACTGGGGCCCCATACCAACCCTTGCTCTGTTACAGTTTCTCCTCTTGGTGGCCCTGCCTATGTCACTGCAAACCAAAAGCTCCATAATATTAAAGAGATAAAATATTAAAGTATAAAAGTCTATAAAGATTGTGTAATTGTTAAAAAGGGTCATAGTGGGAGTGACTGGCACTGCAATGTTTTGTGATCGTGGTTCAGGTTTTGAAATCCATACTGATACTTTGAATACCACTGTGCTAATTTATTCATTGCAACCATAATAAACTATGTGAAATATCCGAAGGGAGTGAGCCCAAATAAACATTGCATCAAGTAAATTCAAAATGCTCTTGATCTGTGAAAACTCACTGTGGATTTGGTTTTGCGAATGCAAGCAAATAATACAATATTTTTATATATATCTTCTGTCTGTTTCTTTTTATAGGTGTTGTTTTCAGTAACTGTTTATAACAAAACTTATGGAAATATTATTTTCAGGTAATGGAAATCTACAATCAAAACGTATCAATACACCATTTGTCATGGATAAAATCCGAAATATCCAGACACAAAATAAATAGAATGCATAGTTTGGTTAGGATAGGGGTATGCGGGTCATTAGGACCTTAGTGGAGTGACGTCCCTACCCCAGAATGTATAGTTCGGTTAGGATAGGGGTATGCGGGTCATTAGGATCTTAGCGGAGTGACGTCCCTACCCCAGAATGCCTAGTTCGGTTAGGATAGGGGTATGCGGGTCATTAGGACCTTAGCGGAGTGACGTCCCTACCCCAGAATGCATAGTTCGGTTAGGGTAATTTGGATTTTTTAAAATAAATAAATTAAAAAAAATGATGAATGAAACACTTATTTGAAGTATTAATTCATATATATACTTCTCTTATGTGTGTAAAAGTTGTGTTATTTATTAGCATGCTGTTCAACAGTTGATTCATTTATTAGCCCTTTCGTTTATCTTTATTTTCTTTGTTGTTACCGCCCTTTATAATCCGGTCTAATTATACATATCATTTACAATTTATCTTAGTCACTGCTATATTGTTTATCCCCTATTGCTAGTTTGTAAAGCTTTTTTAATCATACGTGTTTATCGCTGAGGAAGAGCACAGGTGTGCTCGAAATATTCGAAATAAAAAATTATCTTATGTCTATTATGTCAATGTATACGACTCTACTTTGTGCATTCGTACTTATTTTATATATATATATATATATATATATATATATAAACCCACTGGAAAAAAAACTAGCGAAATTTTGCTCTGAAAGACCCAACAATTCAATTTCTGGACTCGGATCGGAGTAAATTAAAAAAACTATGGCATTATATTATTAACCTCTAGTTTTGCTATAAATGTGAAAATTGACAATAAACTTAGTTAACTAGTTACTCTTTACTGTCTTTATCAAATTTAAATGAAATGATCATAATGCCAATTTCCAAGATGGCGTTCATCTTGGCGGAGAAAATGGTTAATTTTGTAATATTTATTATATTATTATTATTACTATTACTATTGTTCTGAAAGTACAAATTACAATCTAATCAAAGCAATGTACACATATAGAATATATAAAATACTATTATTTTAATAGTAGTAAATTATGCTTATCTATTATTGTTGAAATCATTAATTATTATGTATATATTATTACTGTATTGTATTTTTGTTATTTCAAAATTATATTTTAATATTAGAATGAATTACATTGTTAGTACTGTTATATAATAATATTATTTATAATATTTTTATTACCACTATTGATATCATTACAGTACTATCATCATCCGTCATCATCCTCATCCTATTCGTCATCGTCATCATCATTCTCATTGTTATCTAATCATCATAATCATCCTTACTATCATCGATCGTTGTAATCATCACCATCATCCTCATCATCATCAATGGCATAGCCAGCTATTGGCACAGTGGGCAGTCCCACACCATTTTCCAATGGGTCCACAAAAAATGGGTCCACATTTTGAAAATGGGTCCAAATTATGTAATTTTATGCATAAAATGGATCCATATTCCTTATATTTAGTTAAATATGGGTAAAATTTAAGAAAATCCAGATATTTAACATTTTTGCGTAAAGTGGGTCCACTCTAATATTGTCCCACACCGTTTGAAAATTGATCGATTGATTGATCCTCATCCATCATCGTCACCCTCAACACCATCTTCACCAATCATTTTTAACATCATCACCATCATCTTTATCCTACTAATCATCATCATCCTTATCCTCATCATCACCAACCTCATCCTTATCCTACTTACCATCATCACTCATTCATCCTCATAGTCCTCATTATCATCATCATTGTCATTATCATCCTCATTACAATCATAATCTATCATCATCATCCATCATCATCTTTGTCCTCATCAACAACCACATCATCATCCTTATTAATCATTATCAATCATCATCCTCATCATGAGGATGACAAGAATGAAGATGAGGTTAAGGGGCAGAGGGGATGTTTCTCAGCATTCGTCATCATTAACCTCATTCATCAACATCATTCTCATCAATCATGCTCATCATTATCACGATCACCCTCATCAACGATCATTATCATCAATCATAGTCATCATCATCCTTATTTTCATCATCATCAAACTCATCATCCAAATCCTTCTTATTGTCATCATTATCCTCACCATCCTTATCAGCATCATTTTCATCATTATCCTCTTCATCATCAGTCACCATCATCATCATGAGGATGATGAAGATGAGGACGACGAGAATGAAGAGAAGGACAAGGGTGAGGATGAGAGGGATGGTTCTCATCATTCATCATCATCATCATTCTCATCAATCATTTTCATCATTCTCATCACCATCATCACAATCATTATCATCATCAATCATAACCACCATCATCTTCTTCCTCACCATCATCCTCATCATCTTTCTTCTCATCATCATCATCAACATCCTTCTTATAATGGGGAATATAATGAGGATGGGGATGACAATAAGGAAGATGATGATGATGATAATAATAATGACATCAGTATATTAAGAATAACAGTACTAACGCTAATATTAATGTGAATTATAAACTATAATTTTTTTTAAACACATAAGAATAATGATATACTATATTAATAATATTATAGAGTAACAACATAATAATATACTAATGATGATGAAGAAAAATGTAGTGTAGAAAGATTAAATTTAAATAGGTAAACATTTCCTTTAATTTTGATTGTCATAGTCTTGGAATTTGGTGTGTTGACGTCGTCATTCCAAATTTGGTTGGGAGGTGGGGAATTCCCGTCTGACAGGCCTAGAATCCCAACATCCGATGCCACAACGAGGTCACCACACCACAAATAATGATTTGCTTCCATATAACATTATTTTGGCTTAAAAGCAAAATTTTGGGCCATACAAAGCTAAAAAAAACTCTCCCATAAGCCCAGGGAAGTTTATTCCGGGACTCTGACCGAGGGTCTAGTCAGCCCTGTGTTTGGACCCACCCTATCAGACCCACTCGGACCACCACTGAACGACTATAATGGGTAAGTGTTTAACTAAGGTCCTGTCAGTTTTCACAGTTATAGAAAAAAAAAAACTAAGTGACTAAAAACATAAACATGTTTCCCATATCCCGATCCAAAAAATGGTATTTTAAAGCAAAATTTCACTATTTCGTTTTATTCCTTTTATTGAGATTGTATTGTACTTTGATAATAAAATTATTTTTACATTAAAAACATAGTTTTTCCCACCTTAATGGACGCCATCTTGGAATTTATCATGATGACGTCATCATTCCGATCAATTTTTAAAAATTAGAGTGATGAGTAACTATTTAGCCAAGTTGTTGTTACATTCCAACATAAATTTATTTCCCCTACCCCCATCTTAAATAGTTTAAAATAGGGTACGGTATTTTAGGTCAAAATTTCAAAGTGCTGTAAAAAAAAATTGCCCAAGCCCTAGGCATGGGGATTTTTTTTTCTGAAACACTATAGGGTATGCTGATTCAGAAAAACCAAAAAATTAATTTTCCTTTACTTTTTTCCCACTAAAGTTCATTTCAGCAGTTTTACAACCAGACTAGTAGTCATATCTGCTTGATTGTGCATCTTTTTGGGCTACAACATTCAAGGTCATCACATTTTCAGATCTATTTTGAAAAAAGTATTGTGGTTAACAACTTTGGAATAATTTGCCATTAAAATGCAGCTTTTAAAGACTGACAGACCGACAGATGGATAGATGGACTGACCGACCGACAATGTTATGATAGATGCGAAAAGTTCATGCAGAAAATTAAGTATGATTGAATTTTTAGGAATCGAGTGGCACTTATTCAAAATTGAGGGGCGCTTAATTAAACGGGGCGCTTAAGACAATTTTCACGATAGGAGGGTGCTTATTCAAACAGGGCCCTTATTCGCGCCAGTACGGTATGTTAAATATTTGAGAAAATTATCATGTATTGTTAGATTAGGAGTCGAACTTCGATGGCACAAGCTATTTTTTCCTCCTTTTCACCGATTTGTGAATAAATTTGTATTATACCGAATGAACTTTACAGATCTTCACAGCAATAATCGAAAATACTCAACAATTCTAAAATACCTCAGTTGACTTGACGAAAAAAAGGCAGACACACCTGCATAACTGTATGATTTCAAGACGATCCATATTGGTATGGGAAATAGCTAGAAATCAGACTAAAGCTGCAAAATTTATCTCACCTGATATGTATATGTCCGACATCGAACATGCTTTTGTGACCAATCTTTGTACTTCTTACATCTTATCAGTTGCTTTTTTTGAAGCTTATTTATATCAATGTTTGGATTAATCTTTAAGATTGACTCCTGCAGAGTCTTGATGTATTGTTATTTATTTGTTAACGTCATTATATTTATATCTGAATTTATAGCCTGGTTGTAAAACTGCTGAAATGAACTTTAGCGGGAAAAAAGTAAAGGAAAATTAATTTTTGGTTTTTCTGAATCAGCATACCCTATAGTGTCTCAGAAAAAAAATCCCCATGCCTATGGCTTGGGCAATTTTTTTTACAGCACTTTTTACAGAAATTTTGACCTAAAATACCCTATATTAAACTATTTAAGATGGGGGTAGGGGAAATAAATTTATGTTTTTGGTCACTTTTACATATAGTGTGGATATGAAATGTAGCAACAACTTGGCTAAATAGTTACTCATCGCTCTCATTGAAAAATTTTATCGGAATGATGACGTCATTATGACAAATTACAAAATGGCGTCCATTATGGTGCGAAAAACTACTGGTATGTTTTTAATGTAAAAATAATTTTATTATCAAAATACAATACAATCTCAATACAATATTATAATTACAAGAATAAAAAATATGTATATATAATTAATGAACTACTACAAAGTTAACCCAACGAAAAAAACGAAATAGTGAAATTTGCTTTAAAATACCAATTTTTGGATCGGGGTATGAGAAACATGTTTATATATTTATTCACTTTTAGTTTTTTTTATTTTTGTAACTGAAAACTGACAGGACCTTAGTTAAATACTTTACTCATTATAGTCGTTCAGTAGAGGCACCAGGGTGTCTGATAGGGTGGGTCCAAACACAGGCCGACTAGACCCTCTGTCCCTTGGAATAAACATCCTTGGGCTTATGGGAGAGGTTTTTTTTAGCTTCATATGGCCCAAAATTTTGCTTGAAAGTCAAAATATTAGGGATTGGCAATCAAAATAATGTTATATGGATAAGCTAATCATTACTTCTGGTGTGGCGACCTCGTCATGGCATCGGACGATGGGAGTCTAAGCCTGCAAAGCAAATCAGAAAGATGACGTCAACACACCAAATTAGACTATGACAATGAAAACTAAAGGAAATGTTTACCAATTTAAATTTAATTTTTCTACACTTTATTTTTCTTCATCATCATTATAATACTATTATGTTGTTACTCTATAATATTATTAATATAGTATTTTATTATTCTCATGCGTTTAAAAAAAAAGTTATATTTTATTAGTAATTCACATTAATATCAGCGATAGTACTGTTATTCTTACTATAACTGATGTCATTATCATCATCATCATCATCATCTTCCTCATTGTCATCCCCATCCTCATTATAATCCCTATTATAAGGAGGATGTTGATGATGAGGAGAAGAAAGGTGATGAGGATAAAGGTGAGGAAGAAGATTTGTGATAATGTTTGTGATGATGGTGATGAGAATGATAGAAAATGATTGGTGAGAATGATGATGATGATGAATGATGAGAATCATGCCTCTCATCCTCACCCTCGTCCTCATCTTCATTCTCGTCCTTCTCCTCATCATCATCATCCTCCTCATGATGATGATGGTGACTGATGATGAAGGATAATGATGAAAATGATGATGGTAATGATGACGATGATGATGACAGTAATCAGGATGATGATGAGGATGATGATAATAATGAGGATGGTGGTAATGATGATTATGATGATGAAGATAAGAATGATGATGAGGAGGATGAGGATGATGTGGTTGATGAGAAGGCAGATGATGAGGTAGATGATGATGGATGATGATAAAGGAAGAAAATTATGCTGATAAGGACGGTGAGGATAATGATGATAATAAGGAGGATTAGGATGAGTTTGAAGATGATGAAGATAAGGATGATGATGATTATGATTGATTCAATTCAATTCAATTCAATTTATTATATCATTTGCAATGCATACATTACATCACATAGAAAATATTGTGACTCTATTTAACATGGACCAACATCCAAGTCGGCAAACAATGAACAAATGGAAAAACAGTGAATTATCAGAGCAACGGACACAATGAAATGCTATTGTATTGCATTGAGGGCCCGGATGGCTGACGGAAAGAAACTCTTTTGGAACCTGCTCGTTCGAGCATAAATTGACCGATATCTTCTCCCACTGGGGAGCAATTCAAAGAGAGAGTTACCAGGGTGTGTTGGATCTTCAATTATACATTTTATTTTTTTAAGCATTCTGGCATTAAATATTTCCTCAATATCATCCTCATTGTGACCGATTATACGAGAGGCATATTTAACAATACGTCGGAGGTCATTTCGGTCAGCCTCGGTGGTGCCACAATACCAAACAGCAATGGAGTATAAAAGAACGCTCTCAATAACGGACTTGTAAAAAATAGACATAATATTTCTACAGACCCCGAAAGACTTAAGTCTCCTCAGGAAGTAGAGTCGCTGTTGCGCCTTTTTAATGCACTTAGTTGTATTTTCTCGCCATTTCAGATCGTTAGTTAAATAGATTCCTAAAAACTTAAATTTATCTACCATTTCCACAGAAGTGCCATTTATTCTAAAATCTATGACCATTTCTTTGGTCTTATTTACGTTTAGCAGTAGACCATTTTGGTCGCACCACAAAATTTAGGATGAGGATGATTGATGAGAATGATGTTGATGAGGTTTTGCGTAGGCCTACGCAAAAGCTCCAAAATCGAAGTTTAAAACTGTTATTCAACGCTCTGATTTCGAAAACTCGATTTTTTTTTCGATCTCGGAGGTTTTGCATACATGGTCTACGCAAAAACTCCAAAATCGAAGTTTAAAACTGTTATTCAACGCTCTGATTTCACATTTTAGTAGTTCACTGACTAAATGACAACAAAAAAAAATAAATTGGTTACATTACACTGCATATCTCTTTGAATAGAATCACAGTTTATTGATATTAAATATTTGAAATATATAACAGATAATATAATAATTTCAATCAATGAGCCTATTCCCATTACCCATTGATGGAATTGAAGCCCATCTCGAATTGAAGCCCCATTTTTAGTTTGCATAATTAGCCTCGAAAAGGAGCCCATCTCAAAAAGAAACCCATGGGCTTCATTTCAAGATTGCATAGGCTTCTTTTTAAGATATACAGTCACATACAGTGAATTTCAGAAAAAATAACTGAAAAACAAGCTTGGTTTATACAGTAGTTTAGGTGATTTAATGTCAGTTAGATACACTCTATGATACATATTGATGTTATAGTTGCCATGTTTATTGTTTTATAGTAACAATTTATGGCATTCATTTTGATTAGAAGTCCCCTCTTTATTTTGCAAAAGTAGTCTCGAAAAGAAGCCCATCTTAAAAAGAATCCCATCTCGAAAAGAAACTCATCCAAAGTTCGCAAAGAAAAAAGAAAGCCCAGGGCTTCAATTCGAGGTTTTAAGGTATTAGTCTTACATTTAAGCATATATTGAATGCATCCTTGCCTGCCATACTTTCTCAAACTTTTTATATTATATTGCAATAAATATATAAGATTTGATAAAAAAAAAATTAAAGGTGGCTTTATGTAATAGAATGTGGGTATAGATAATAATAGTTAAATTTTTAAAAACTTACTGCCTTAGATATTTGGCGTTTTCTTTTCCTCCGGAGATTGCATTGAATTCTGCAATGGTTTATTCGGCTTGTCGGCGTTTGTGCTGTCTGCTTGTAAGCAGGTACTCCTTGAAGTCGCTCTGAGATTCTAGTAAAGTAAAAATAAGTAAATTTTTACAATAATGTGTGCCTTTGCTTATCGGATACCAAACACTTTTGGATGAACAACTTTTCTCCCAATAAAGTCCCACTGTGTAAGTAGCCAGTATTTGAGCGTGGTGAACATTTCGTCCAGGTAATGGGAATAGGCACCTTACCCAATGATGTACATTGTTTTATCTACTATGTGAATTGTTGCGTCTTTTTTTTTTTTATTTAAATTTTTTTTTGTAATATAAAATTTAAGGAAGATTTAGAGTTCATAAAAGTTGTATACATATACTGCATAGAACTTGTTCAATTTATATAGTATGGTTTGTTTTCAATAGTATATTATCGTGTTATCAAATGTATAGCAAGTTTTGAGTACACTATAGGAAATAGAAGCCGAAACAGCCATTATTTGTGGAAAACAAATTTGCCTGAAATCTGCAGGACAATGGCTTTCTTTGAAGGAAAAAATGGTTACTAAGGTTGCTATGTTCTATAGTGTATGAAGTTACTCGATTATAATTGCTGTAAAAGTCAGTTGTGACGTCCATCATCCTTTAATCAAACTGCTGGTTGTAGACCTGGTTGCTATAATCATAAACCTATAGTGCTGTCTGTGGCCGTGGTCGGTTGCTTAGTGATTACTGTTCCTGTGCATTAGCTGCACGTATAAGAATGATTTGCTAGTAGTACATGCACAGCTCTTTGTGATACGAAGATTTTGAATAAAATGGTTGTGGTTAATGAAGTTTACTAATGGTTATTAGGTGGCTTATCCTCCGGTAAACATTTCTTTAATAGAATGAAATGTACTGTAAATATTATTCTGAATTATTTTAGCTTTATTTTTTTTTTTCAGTTATTTAATGATTCAATTACCTTGTTATCTCATAAACATTATGCCTTTCTAAGCCTTGCCTAGGATGGTCTAACCTTCATTCATGTATATCCAGCACCGTAGAGAGAAATGTGTTAGGTTTGCTGTGTGCGTTCAGCTTGGCTTAGCAATTAAATATTCCTTTGCGATGTACTATGATAAAATCACCCCAAGTTTGTGCTTTTTTCACTCAAGACATAAAAAATTGCAGGCACTATATCTATATAGTGGTCAGTCAGGGATAGGAAAGTAAGTACAAGTAAAAGTGATGACCTCACCACTTATAAATTTTTTATTTTTTGAAAATGTAATCATTGATAGTGTTTTAGGGTTTAAAATCATACCTTCAACAGGCAACTTAACACTTCCTTTTTGCTTTTTTGTATTCTTCATCATTTTTCTATAAATTAAAAAAAAATGTTGGTTTATGATATTTCTTTCATGATTGATTTATCTTTAATGATTAATTTTTTAACATGCAAGTGTGCACAAAATGATTATTCATAGTAAAACAAGTTCTCGTAATCTCAAAAGACCTGATGAGGGCAGTATATAGAGGCAGCAGAGTATATTGGCCCAAACGGCCACCGATACTAAAAATATTTATTAATCAATAAGCTGAGTGTTTCTAGAGCTCGTCCTCGGAGCTAAAAATAAAATGAATTCACAATTAAAAAAAAAGAAATCAGTATAAAATCAATATAATGATGATTACTGTTAGGCTAAAAAGAAATGTTAATGATATTGATAGATTTTGTGAAAATGTGTTTTCATTAGATGTGGAAAACCATTTGTTAAATACATACCAAATTGACAAAATTGTATTAAAAATCATGATATAATTGAAAAATGGTATCATTGGAACTTATGTACTCTAAAAGATAAAATGGACCATGAAAATTTTAAAAAATATATTTGTATTTACTGGCCTATACAATACCTTCAGATCGTGGCATTTTTGTAGGTGCCTGTCTAGTCTAACGACAGCGGCATGGCATAAGCCGCATTGTTTCATTTCTGGCCTTTTCCTAATAAATATAAACATAAAAATCACTGATAATAACTTTTTTATGTATCTGTAATGTTTCTACTGTAATACATAAACTCAAATATTTTCATACATTGCTTTTTGTTATGATTAGGCACTTGACATTTTAAGTACATTCAGTGTGGAGGAATATGGGATGGATAAGAGCTTAAGATGGTTGTGAAAAGTAAGTTTACAAAATATTATGCCATGCTCTATAATACTTGCCCTAGTTTTACATTAAGATCTCGATTGAATTGAAAACAGAGAAAGTGACTCTCTAGATAAGACCACTCCTAGAAAGTTCACTAAAAAATCACAACGAAAAGTAGTAGACAAAAGCTCCCACTGGGAGCCTATTTTTTTAAAAATAATTATAGACATTTTCTATTTACAGCATTGTAAAAATTAAAATTAGAATACTCACTTCAATTTTAAGGTGGCCATGCATATTTTTTTGTGTGTTTCAATAACGTTATGAACTTCACGCACATGGCATGGGGTGTATACTGTTTTTTTTCCACATAGTGGGCACTCCTAAAAAATAATACAGTTGCATAAATATTGCAATTGTTTATAAGTTTGAATATCAGATAGTATATTAAGTGTACATACACAAGAATGAATACGGTGCTATATCTTATACACATCACAATTCACCAAAATTAATTACACTTATTTAATGACTGGTAATACTATATATTTAATTTAAAGTGTTAGGTTAATCTTTACACCTGAACCTGATCAAGTAAGCACTTGTATTTATTATTTGGACCAATATATTTATGAAATCGGTTTGTAATTAATTTTCAAATACTAAATTAAAAATAAGCAAAGCATCTTCAAAATGTTCACCTTTTTTCCTGTGGAATTTTTTTTTTCCCTGAAATAAAAAGGAATTGTATAGTTAATACTAATATGCAAGATAATAAATCTTATATTTTCAAATATATATTTCAATAAATAAAATTAAAACAATAAATATTTTGCATTTTTTCAATGGGATTTAATTTACTCTGCACCACCTCCTTGAATTTAACATCACATCTTTCAATGAAACATTCTGTCCCAATATATTTATTATTTGAATATTATATGTAATACTATTATTAATTAATGTGTACAAATCCTTATTTATTACACTACATAACATATTATAAGTATTCATTAATTAAATCATCCACTAAACGCTCAAGCATAAAATTCACCAATAACTATCATGTTCCAGTCACATTTTGACTAAATCCATTAAATTATCAAGCTATTCAGATATAAAATTTGGTTACTTACACTTGTTTTTTGCATATTTCAATGGGATTTAATTTACTCTTGAATTTAACATCACATCTTTCAATGAAACATTCTGTCCCAATATATTTATTATTTGAATATTATATGTAATACTATTAATTAATGTGTACAAATCCTTATTTATTACACTACATAACATATTATAAGTATTCATTAATTAAATCATCCACTAAACGCTCAAGTATAAAATTCACCAATAACTATCATGTTCCAGTCACATTTTGGCTAAATCCATTAAATTATCAAGCTATTCAGATATAAAATTTGGTTACTTACACTTGTTTTTTGTGGACTTCATTTATATGGCTTTCAATATCGACAACCTTCAAGCCACACAAAGTACAGCATATCTATAGCAAAACAAAACATTTATAAATTAGTTTTAATTAATTGTAGTTCATCAGATTATAGTACAATCAAATCAAGTCAAAACTAATTTTTCGTCTTTGTAGCTTCCAGCTAAATTGCAACTGATACTGATACACTTACATGTATGACATAAAATAAGAAATAACATGGTTACAACTACAATTAAATAACAAACAAAAATGATGTGTAGTACATAACGTATATCAGTAAATTGCATAAATTTCAATCACCACAGGGCAATATCATAGCCAGCTATTGGGACAGCCGAACACAATTTCCTAAGTCGTCAAGAATGGGTTCATATTTTTAAAAATGGGTCCAATTTATGCAGTTTTATGCATAAATAAGTCCACTTTTTGAAAAATGGGTCCATATTTAGCCTAAAATGCGTAAATTTTAAAGAGAATGGGTCCAGATTTTTGCGTAAAATTGGTAATCTTTTAAGAAAATGGGTCCACGTTATTTTAATTTACCGTACTTGCACGAATAAGCACCCCTCTTGAATAATCACCCCCATTTAATTTGAATAAGCACTCCCTCAATAATATCAGAAGATTTTCTTATTAGCAAGTCAATAATCCAATCAATCCTGGGACTGTGGTTTTTGGCATGATTTGAGCTGCAGAGTGGAAACATATTCTTCTTTAGGTCAATATCAAAATGAGGATATTTCTCTTAGGCAGATGAGAGCCCCGATTCCTGGACAGACAGTATATTTCCAACTTTATTCTTTTTACATATTTGTCTATGCCTAGTCCTACTCCTCTTTTTCTTTTTCTGACCTTTAGCACATTCTCATCTGAGTTTTCAAGAAAAAATACAATGATCCTGCCATCCTGCTAATTTCAATCAAAAATTGCCTCTTGAATTTAATAATTTCCCATAAGAACCCCTGCTTTTCATCTATTTCCATAAGCGCCCAATCAATTTCCACTTTGTTTTCCTAAGTGCCCCGTTCGAATAATCGCCCCTCAGAAAGTGCAAAAAATGTTTTAAGCGCCCAGGCGCTTATTCGCGTGAGTACGGTACACGTAAAGTGGGTCCGTCCTGATATTGTCAAGCGCTGTTTGAAAATCCTGGCTACGGCTTTGACACAGGGCTTTCCACTGGTATTTATCAAGGGCCAAGGTGTTACCATGGCTGTAAAAATAATTCTGTGCACTATTCATATAAGAGTAAGGGATTCTCCTGGACCATAGTGTAACTGATCATGTGGTGGGCACTGCTGTTTACTTTTCAATTGCTGTTATCAATATTCACTATTAAGAAATCAAATAATGTTTCAACTGTTGGTACAATTTACATAAAATTTTCCTATTAAATATGATTTTTTTTTCACCATTTCTTCTTCTGACAGATCCTGACTCATCACTTCTTCATCTGATAGATCTTCACTAAAAAAAAAAAATTGTAAAATTTAAAAGTATTTTTTGAAGTTTTGTATTCTTTATATGTGCATTAAAAAATACTGAGTTTTGTAGTGTTCACCTGGATGTGATTTATTTTATAAATTAAATGTGACTTGATGCAAAACTGGCTAAGCAACTGGTTATCAGTGAAAAAAAACTTGTCTGTGGTGTGATTGCAAAAGAAACAAAATTATAATTCTAGAAAAAAGGAACTTTAACATTAATTACCTATGCTCCTCTGAATTGATAATACCTACTTCTTTGGTTAGTTTTAACTTACCCATTTTCAATTTGTTTGAACATTTTCTCAACCTCATTTAACTGCAAGAAATGTGCAATAAAGAATAAATGAAAAATAACAATAGCAGCTTATATGGTCAGTGCATTTATTATGGAAATAATAAAATGATCACATAGTCCATGTTAGCATATCATCATGGCAGTATCATTTTGAAACAAAAGTCATATATTTTTGACAACTTTTTAAATATTTTATGTATTACATTGTTTAAAAATGCATTGCATAATTTTATGTTTTAGATTTTAATTATCAAAAACAACATCAATTAGGTGAATTTGTTTAATTTTAATTATTCTCTTAATTTGATATAATAAAACAAGTTAATTATAAACAGATTTACTTTACCTCTTCATCCATGATTAAGAGTAACTGAAAAAAAATGTCAGACAAACATGGTTAAAAAGAATAGTTTACTAATACATTTACTAATACAATTTCATGGCAAAATAAGTACCAAGTGGGACCACAAAGATACTATGTTTAAACTTACTTGTTCTTAAGGTATATTTAAAAAAATATTTCTCAGTGTTATTCAGTAATTTCATGTATGATTTAAGTGATTCTACACTATTTATATTTTTTTAGATATTAATTTTGCTATTTCAAAGGTTTATCATAATAAATATTTAAAGGAACAAGCTAAAAATGAAAAAATGAAAACTTTTACAGTACAACTGGCATGTCGGTTTGTACAAGAAACCCTAGGGTTTTTCCTTAATTCCATAATGAGAAGTGATGTTGAACTTGCACTAAAAACAAGCCATTAAAAAGTATGAAGTAAAAAACACATGAAAATCAAAAATACTAAATACTACTAAAGAAAATTATGAAGTTATTAAAAACAATGAAAATCAACTTAACGAAATAGTGAAATTTGCTTTAAAATACCAATTTTTGGATCGGGGTATGAGAAACATGTTTATATATTTATTCACTTTTAGTTTTTTTTATTTTTGTAACTGAAAACTGACAGGACCTTAGTTAAATACTTTACCCATTATAGTCGTTCAGTAGTGGCACCAGGGTGTCTGATAGGGTGGGTCCAAACACAGGCCGACTAGACCCTCTGTCCCTTGGAATAAACGTCCTTGGGCTTATGGGAGAGGTTTTTTTTAGCTTCATATGGCCCAAAATTTTGCTTGTAAGTCAAAATATTAGGGATTGGCAATCAAAATAATGTTATATGGATAAGCTAATCATTATTTCTGGTGTGGCGACCTCGTCATGGCATCGGACGATGGGAGTCTAAGCCTGCCAAGCAAATCGGAAAGATGACGTCAACACACCAAATTAGACTATGACAATGAAAACTAAAGGAAATGTTTACCAATTTAAATTTAATTTTTCTACACTTTATTTTTCTTCATCATCATTATTATACTATTATGTTGTTACTCTATAATATAAAAATACTGAGTTTTGTAGTGTTCACCTGGATGTGATTTATTTTATAAATTAAATGTGACTTGATGCAAAACTGGCTAAGCAACTGGTTATCAGTGAAAAAAAACTTGTCTGTGGTGTGATTGCAAAAGAAACAAAATTATAATTCTAGAAAAAAGGAACTTTAACATTAATTACCTATGCTCCTCTGAATTGATAATACCTACTTCTTTGGTTAGTTTTAACTTACCCATTTTCAATTTGTTTGAACATTTTCTCAACCTCATTTAACTGCAAGAAATGTGCAATAAAAAATAAATGAAAAATAACAATAGCAGCTTATATGGTCAGTGCATTTATTATGGAAATAATAAAATGATCACATAGTCCATGTTAGCATATCATCATGGCAGTATCATTTTGAAACAAAAGTCATATATTTTTGACAACTTTTTAAATATTTTATGTATTACATTGTTTAAAAATGCATTGCATAATTTTATGTTTTAGATTTTAATTATCAAAAACAACATCAATTAGGTGAATTTGTTTAATTTTAATTATTCTCTTAATTTGATATAATAAAACAAGTTAATTATAAACAGATTTACTTTACCTCTTCATCCATGATTAAGAGTAACTGAAAAAAAAATGTCAGACAAACATGGTTAAAAAGAATAGTTTACTAATACATTTACTAATACAATTTCATGGCAAAATAAGTACCAAGTGGAACCACAAAGATACTATGTTTAAACTTACTTGTTCTTAAGGTATATTTAAAAAAAATATTTCTCAGTGTTATTGCAGTAATTTCATGTATGATTTAAGTGATTCTACACTATTTATATTTTTTTAGATATTAATTTTGCTATTTCAAAGGTTTATCATAATAAATATCTAAAGGAACAAGCTATAAATGAACAAATGAAAAATTTTACAGTACAACTGACATGTCGGTTTGTACAAGAAACCCTAGGGTTTTTCCTTAATTCCATAATGAGAAGTGATGTTGAACTTGCACTAAAAACAAGCAATTAAAAAGTATGAAGTAAAAAACACATGAAAATCAAAAATACTAAATACTACTAAAGAAAATTATGAAGTTATTAAAAACAATGAAAATCAACTTCACGACTAACACAACGTAAGTGAGACTTGAACTATAATTGTCAACCCTGCATTTTTAGGTAATGTACCTTGAGTAGTATCTTGGTAATTCAAACCCTCAAATTCACACCGAAATCTGTACTGAAATTTAATAATCTTTTTCCTTGTAACTTGTTTAGACTTTTAAGTCAGTAGATCAGTTCTTGATAAGTGTGGCCTAAGACGTTTTCATTTGAATGGTCCTCATATCTACACCCTACTACTGTATATACAACACAAATCAAAAGCTGTATTTAAGAGAGAACTAAATATATTTTTATTAAAGTAAAATTACCATTATCTCTTTGTATATTTATGTATTAAATAAATTCTTTTGTGTATTTATGTAATAATTTATGTTACTGGTAACTTAATTGCAAAAAAGTTATCACAAAGGCTAACTCAAGAATAAGATATCTTTACCATCAAGCCTCGTGCCTTGACTCTTATTGTGGGAAAATGTTATACACGTCGTTGTTATACCTTTATTTGACTATGCTTCCTCGTCATGTTTTTCAGGTATTGAGAAAAAAAATTAATGATTAGATTGCAAACAACTCAAAACAGTATGATTCGGTTTATAAAAAACTTAGGTCTGCAGTCCCATATTGGCCAAATTCAATTAACTGAAATTGGTATTCTTAACGTTCAAGACAAAGTTAATTTTTTTTTTAATTTCTCAAAATATTTGTCCAGTGTATTTAAAAGAAAACTTGGAAAGAAAACCACAATTATAAAACAAGAAATAGCTCTCTTAATTATAGAATACCATACGTTACTTCAGTGGCATCTACAACTTTCTTTTTTAATGCAATAAAAAAGTGTAACTCCTTGTCGTTGAAAATTAAATCTTGTCAAGTCCTCAAAACTTAAAAAAAAAAAAAACTTAAAAATTACCTGAATAACTGTGCTTTGGCTGTGAATGAGGGAGATGTTATTACTTGAATTTTTATTGTCTTATTCCATTTTTGCTGTTTTTCTTTTTTTTTATCGGACCCCTATTGGAAATAAGTCCTATGACTTTATGGGCATTCCGGGCATTGTTTTCGTTTCTTGCAAAATTTTAATATTTCTGTGTGTCATCTGTAATTTGTTTTATGAACTTTTTATCGATTGTATGTATTTTGTATGTGTTGTGTATATTTATTTATTTTTTTGCATTGTAATGGCATATTTGTTAAGTTGGGAAAAATTCATAATTATCCCCTATAATACATTAAATAATGCATTGGTTTTGTGTGCAAGGGGCTAGACTTGATTAGTGTTTACACTATTTTCCAGCTCCTTCCTATATTGATTTATGTATTTATTTACATTTAAGATTATTTATACTTATTGGAAAGTAAAGTTGAAGCTAACAAATGAAGTTGAAGTAATCTTAAACAAGGTTTCTGTAAGGGACATTGGTCTTGATGCATTGATGGTAGGTGGGTTTTTCTGGTAGAGGGATTACATTGGCACATTTCTATTGATTGGGGACAATGCCATATTTAATGGAACAGTTGATGATATTTATGACTCAGGCCCGTAGCCAGGTTCTTCCAAGGTGGGGGGTTGGTTTTCTGGGTGTGAGGTCCGACGGTCGAAGCCCTGGTGGGATCGGCGAAACTCCCAAAGCAAGGGGATTTTTGTGCTTTATGGGTCTAAATAATGCTATAAACAGACATGTTTGAAAAGGTCTTTGTCCAAGTGGGTCTGCAGTGCATTAGTTGGGTTGGAGGACTTATTTGGGAAATTTGAAGAGGGGGGTTCGCCAGAAAAGTTGAGGGTTTGCAAGAAAAGGGGGGTTCCCCCGAACCATAAAACCCCCACTGGATATGGGCCTGTGACTGGACGACTTATTGTATATTCTATAATAACCCTATTCGATATCCTCTCTTTTCTCCCAGGTTTAGCAACTAACCCCTTGTTTAATTTATTAAACACAACCCAGGGATCGAATTGAGACGGTGGCACATGATCAGGTAAATAGGCTGCGATCATTATAAAAAATGTTGAAATCATCAAAATCTTACATTGCTTGTCATCGTTCATTAGGTCATAATTGCTACAGAATCGTACAACGATGTTTTTGGATGTATTGAAATGTCACATGAGGCAAAAGTTCTAGCAGAAATGGTCTATAGTGAGCTGTCAGGTGGTTGAGAGTGAGCTGTCAAATTGTCCAGAGGGAGCTGTCAGCAGCTCCATAAACTTAACTTTAATTAGTTTTAAGAATGTCCATTGGGAGTTAACAAGAGAGTCCTGGCCAGCAACATAGCCATTGGAATGTAAACAGTAAACCCATTACAATCACTCACTTCATCTCTTGGGCTTCACTGGCAATAAATAACCCATTGTGCTTTAACAAACCAGCAGGACTTATAACCCAAGTTTTTTTCCAGAAGACAGGTGCCATGGACAATTTCTGTTAACAGCCAGAAATGCAGCATGAGGTCGAACCGCAAATGATTATCTGCCCCTTTCCCCCCTCGTTGGTCAATTTATTGATTTATTACCTGCGTATTATACGCATGAAAGTCCATTGGGTGCAGCCTTACCAAAATGGCCAATTCATTCCAATTGGAAAAAATCATATTTGATCCAATTGGAAAATACATCATTGGATTTTGGCACTTTCCAATTGGAAATTACATCATTGGATTTTGGCACTTTCCAATTGGATCCAATTGAAAAATACATCATTGGATTTTGGCACTTTCCAATTGAACTTGTTTCCAATTGGACTTGCTTCCAATTGGATGTTATTAGCTCAATTGGAAAAATTCCAATTGGAAAGTGCCAAAATCCAAAGGGATAAAAGTGGATTTTGGCACTGTCCAACTGGAATTATATCCAATTGGGTATTATAAACCCAATTGGATAAAATTCCAATTGGAAAGTGCCAAAATCCCATTTTATCCCATTGGATTTTGACACTTTCCAATTGGGATTTATCCAATTGGATATTATAAACCCAATTGGGGGTAACATTCCAATTGGAAAGTGCCAAAATCCAATTTTATCCAATTGGATTCTGGCACTTTTCAATGGGAATTTTATCCAATTAGAATTATATTCAATTGGATAACATAAAGAGATGGACACCAATTGGAAAATGCCAGAACCAAATGAGGCTTCAAAGAGGTTGACAAACACTGCTAAATACTGAAAAAAACAAAAGAAAAAAGAAACAATTGTTATTTGCATTTATTTTATTTATTTAAAATACAAAAATGAAATACTGCACAAATATACTTCCCAAAATGTACTCATTGGGAAGTATTTTAAGTAGTGCTAGCGAATGGCTAGAGTGAGGTACTACATGCATATTTAAGTATCCAACTCACCCTTTTTAAATATTTTTTTCCTGGTCGACAGCTTGAAACGCACGCTTACATTTTTGGCGAACAAATTCATTTTTGGAGTGGTCGATATCAAAAACACAAATTGCAATTCCCATAGCCTTGACACTTGTTGGAAAGTTGAAGTTAAAATTTAATGTTTAGTTTCAACAGAAAATACCTGACATCAGATACTTGCAGAGCCTTCGCTTCAAAATTCAGTTAATCTGTTAAAAATAATCAAAAACAATATAGACCTAGACTAGAGATAAAAAGCAGTTTGATATAGTGATACTGATGATATAATAATAATCATTCATTAATTATCAACAATAATTAATTAAACAGTACTACTAGGCCTAGCATGCCTTTATCTAGGACAAGGCCTAGGCCTAGTCTAAAGGCCTAGAGATATAGCCTAGCCTTCCCTATGCTAGGCCTCTGGGCTCACCTAGTACTAAGTATCCCCCTGCTGGCCTAGGTTAGGCCTAGGCCATTAGGGGCCTATAAATCAACAAATTTAAATTAAAAAAATAAAAAAGTTTAAAACAAATATATGAAACAATCTGAATTAGGCTAGGAGAACTAGCCTAGGCTTGGCCTAATCATTACCCTGTTATTATTGAGTTAGGCTGTGCAAGCATAGCCTAGGCTTGGACAGGCCTAACGATATGGCATATGTAGCAGACAAAGCCTAGCCCCACCTAGACAGCCATATCTACCCATCCTGAAGGCCTTCATGCCTAAGGAAGGCTATACACTGCACTATTCTAGGCCCCTCAGGTCACCCATGGCATTTGGTTGGCAATGTTCGATTTTTAAATTCAATTTCTAATTAATCTAAACCAATAATCATTTCAAAAAAAGTCTAAGAAAGGACCAGGCTTAGTATTGTATTAAATAGTTTAGGAATTTGAACACAAAATTGATAAAATACTTACTTTTTATGAACAAAAACAACTCAGAGCAGGACAACCTGTCATATGCTCTCACCCATTGTGCAAAAATGGCGCATTTTAACTTTATAACTTTTATCACGCAGTTGTCCAGAAACCTGTTAATACTGCATTCTGATTGGTCAAATAAATCCCAATTAGAATTAACACAATCCAATTGGATAATTGTTATCCAATTGGAATTTAAAGACAATCCAATTGGATATTTGTTATCCAATTGGAATTTTAAAACAATCCAATCGGATATTTCTCTTCCAATTGGAATTAAAAAACAATCCAATTGGATATTTGCTATCCAATTGGAATTTTAAGACAATCCAATTGGATAATTCTTATCCAATTGGAATTTAAAGGCAATTCAAATGGATATTTGTTATCCAATTGGAATAAGTAAAAATTCCAATTGGATATTTATAATCCAATTGGAAATCTGTTCCAATTGGATTTGGTTTTTTTTTAGTTCAATTGGTATTTGTTATCAAATTGGACTTTAATTGTCCAATTGGATTTTTCCAATTTCTAATTGGTCACTTGTCATCCAATTCATTCCAATTGGATTTATAAAAAAATCCTATTGGACATTTGTTATCCAATTGATCTCAATAGGTTTTTTTCCAAAATTCCAATTGGAATATTTTTTTCTTAATTGGAACCAATTGGATCCAATTCATTCCAATTACAATCCAACTGACTCATATTGAATCCAATTTAATTTCCAATTTGAATGAATTGGTCATTTTCGTAAGGACTGTTCCCAGGGGTGCTAGGAGAAAAATCTGGGTTTGTTGGGAAAACCATGCAACAAGCGAGCACTTAGTGGTGATTGTGTAGTGTTTTGAATAGAAGTGCTTGAGAATATAGACGCTGATAGAATTTAAATCTGAAATTAGCTTTTTTTTTGCAATAGGCCTACGTCACATGCTCTTTTTCTGGATTTTTTTTTTTTTTTTTTTTTTTTTTTTTTTTTTTTTTGGGGGTTCTGGATTTTTTTTTTTTTTTTTTTTTTTTTCTATTTTTTTTGTGGGGATTTCTAGCCCCGGTACTCCACGGACCTGCTCATAATAACAATTAATTGAATAATTTGTTTATAATGCTTATCTATATTGGCTAAGCTTCATTGGAACTTGGATCTATACATTCATGATCAAGCATGGACAACCCAAAAGGTTGCCATTAGGGGTTGCGCCAGTGAGTCGGAGAGATGGCTCCTCTGTTTGGGAGACAAAAAACCAAAATTTGTCAGGGAGAAAAAAATTTACTTGTATATTCCACATAGTTTTACTCTAAAATTGATTAAATATGCCTTTGAATCCCCTTACTTCTCATATTATTGGGGACTTTGCCCTTTGTATTATTTTTTATACGTTTTGAGAGACACATGACCACGCCCACTTTGCCCTACCCCCATCAGGCAAATTATTGATACTCCACTGATTGGTCATTTTTAGTTTTGTATGATCGCTATAAATATTCATGTGATGGAAAATCTGTCTCATTTTTAAAACACAAGTGAAAATAAATGAACCAAGCATATTATACACATGAAAGTTTACTGGGTGCTTGTAAAACTGTACATTTTTCCTAAATTATGAATAAAAACCATATAGTTGTTTTTTAGGTTATCTGCCCCCTTCCCCCTCGTCGGGTATTTTATTACACAATGATTTTTCATAGGACTTTATTCGTTGAAAAGCTACAGGGTAGCCTACGATGTTCCATCATGTCCTTAT